AACATGACAAGGTGCGTCTCGGACAACTAGAAGTAAAACCTCATGTCTTGGTATTGCCAGATAAACATTCCTTGGCCTTTGCCATATGCATGGAAAGGATTGATGGTATGAGCTTACTGGTGCAGAGAACCATGGCAAGACCTTCACCTAAAGAAAATTTTTAGTGGTGTCTTTGCAAAAGTCACCCCCTAGAACCTAAAAATGCTGCATATAGTGGAACCTGATGTGACCTGGGGATTTCCAAACCTGAAGTCTGTCCGACACTCATTTTGAAACGTGAACAAACCAAGGTCAACAGTAAGACCATCCCTCTGACAGACAACATGGTGACGAGGAGCACCTGGGGGAGTCTGGTGTCATTTGCTTGGAAGACCTCATTCATGAAATTGCCTCCCCAGGGAAGCATTTCCAGGAGACCTCATGGTTCTTGTGCCCTTTCTACCTCTCAGTGGTCCATCATGCTATTGAAAATAGAGTGGGCTTCCTCAGGGAAATGGGCACACCTGGCTATCGGGGTGAACGCATCAATCAGCTCATCCTCCACCTGAACCAGACCCAGGCACCAAAATGTAGGAAATTTTTATCAATGAAGTAGAAGCATATGTTTTTGTTTTTTGAGGAATTTTTATCAAGTCTCTTCAGAGAAAATTACTTCCTGCTTTATCTTCAAAAACTGGAAAAGAAGGGTCAAAGAACACACAGTAGCTTATGTTCATGGCAAGCACCTCTCATCACAGTCCAGCTCCAAGGAAAAATGCAGCGTTTTCTACGCTGGCTGCCGCCTCGTCTGAAACCAGCACATTCCACGGAGGAAGGAGCCCTGCTTCGCCGCATCTCCTATACTAGGGTTTAATGTTGGTGAATGAGTAACTCTAGCATTTGTGGAAGGCTCCCTAAGACTCCTGCAGCAGTCAACCAAGCCCAGGGACATAATTGAATCTGGAGATTCCTGGGGCCTTGTTTTGAAAAAGACATGAAATCCACATAGAAAGAAAGGCACAAAAATAAATGTTCACTTGTCTCTGCAAAAAAAAGAAAGAAAGAAAAGAAAAAGCCTATTTATAAAAGTAGAGGGAGTAATATAAGTAATCCAGCTTCAGTCATTATCAATATATCTGGTTTCATCTCTATTGCTTTAATCTGCCCCTCCTTTCCTGCTGTTTTTTAAAGCAAACGCTAGACACCATAACATTTCATCTGTAAATATTTGAGTATTTCTAAGAGATAAAGATTTTGCCTTAGCCATATTAATTCATCATTACATCAAAACAAACGAACTGACAAGACCAAAAACAAAAGAATAAAACCACTTAACAATAATTCCTTCAATCCCTTTCAACTCAAATGTTTCCAGACCCAAAGCTTACAAGCTAGACCTGAGTCGGTTACAGCCACAGAGTCCTAAGAACTGACGCTTTTTACTCTATTCTATAAATGACTAAGAGTTTTAGCATTTTTACCTGATAGACTTCACTGGTCTCCAATTCTGGACTTCAAACCAAAGAGGAACATGAAAAATATAGAGAACATTAAGTAAAGAGCCAACCAAAAGGTTTTGGTGTTCAAAAAGAAGGCAGATTCCTTATAAAACTTGAAAGAACTGGAATTATTCTGACTGAAAAGGAGACATGACAATGGAATACATTAGAAGCAAAAATCATTCATTCATTCATGTACTTTTTCATTCATTCATTCAATGAACACTAATTGAGGGACGATAGTAAGTGCTGAGGATGCAATGACACAAAGTGTCACCCACAGGAATTGTGGCGATAAGCTAGCCTCCATCTTCAATTAGGGAAAAAGTGACACCAATGGGGCTACACATGCAGCAGGAAGACTAGCAAAATACTAAAGTGGGTTTTCTTGGGTTTTTTTTTAGAGATGGAGTCTCGCTCTGTTGCCCAGGCTGAAGTGTGGTGGTGCAATTTGACTCACTGCAACCTCCACCTCCAGGGTTGAAGCGATTCTCCTGCCTCAGCCTCCCGAGTAGCTGGGACTACAGGTGCACACCATCATGCCCAGATAATTTTTGTGTATTTGGTAGAGACGGGGTTTCACCACGTTGTCCAGGATGGCCTCTATCTTCTGGCCTCGTGATCTGCCCACCTCGGCCTCCCAATGTACTGAGATTACAGGCCTGAGCCACCACGCCCCGCCCGAAGTAGGTGTTCCAGGGACACTGGGAATCTCCTCTCAGAGACAGGAGAACTTCCTTTTTGTTTGGGATGTTTTAAATATGCTTAGAGGATAGAAAACATTTTATGGGTGTTATAGCATTTTGTACTCCCCCAATTTATTCTTTGTCAAGAAAGGTATAGAATACAGAATAGATGCCACACGGATTTCTATTACCTGATATTTGCATCTGTCTGGTGTTGGGAGTTACCCTATATGTAAAGACAAAATAATAAAAAAAAAATTTGCTTTGCAAAAAAAAAAAAAGACAAAATCACCCTATAAATTTAGGTTTGCTTCTCTCTAAAATTGGAAATGTGAAATATAACTTAACTTCATCTCTCTGAACAGAAGTCGGTGTGTGAAACACAATTGGAAGACAGAGGTCCATTAAAATTTATTTCAGTCTTATCTCCCCTCAGTGCTCCTGCTACCAGGATGCCAAGCTCTCTCATCTGACAACTGTAAGATCTATAAGTTGCTGCGTCACCATAGTAATTTTGATATTGGCAATTTAAAAGCCCAGTGACGGAGAAAGGCCACCTGAAATAACTCAGACACCTGCAAAAAGCCCTGAGCCAAACAGTGAACTGACTGACCCCCTTATTACTGTCCCCTTTTCTCCCACCCCATGGCCTTCACCTTCGTTGGCCATTCACGACCTCCCTTAGATAAGGTTCTGGCTGCTGACTTCATTCTCCCCCTGCCTCCCACCTACCCCAGCCAAAGAAATGCCCCTACCTACTTCCCGTTCACCCAGAGTCATCATTTATCATGAAATCAATGTTTTTAAAAGGTAATGTGAATATATAAAAAGGTGAATTTGTTTGCTCTCTCAAAATGTATATTTTCACTTTTATATAGACCTCCTAAACACATCTATTGGTCATTGAGGTAAAACGGGTACGTACGTACCACTGAATTCACTAAGAGCTTTCAGATGCATCGTCCAATTTACTCTAATCTCCACAGCACCCCACCGCCCCCCAATCCAGATTTGTAGCATTTTACAGATGAAGAAACTGAGGCCCAAACAGACTAAGTTGCTTTTCCATGATCACTCAGAACTAAGAGACAGAGTCATTCCTGCCTCAACATCTGGAAGCCTGAGCACTTCCGTCTTCCTTGTGGACTACAAGCAGGTCCATCACCTGCTCAACTGAAAAAGAGCAACACGCAGCCCTCACCCCAAGGTCTGACCCTTCGCAGACCAGTCCTTTAGATTTCTGATTCCAAATGCTTTGCTGTTGTTGTTGCTGCTGCTCGTTTATTTCATTTCGTTTCCACAATCTCGGCATCCGTAGTTAAGAAAATATTTTAACCCTAAGAGACTTTTCATTGTGGACATCCTAGACACCTGTGGCCCCCCAGTGGAGGCGAGGCCTCTCCAAATAGCACTACACACTCAACAGACACCGCGGCCAGCTCTTGACTCCCTGCTCATATATAAGAAGCCAAAGTCAGTCAAAGAAGACGGAATGTCTCAGTCTTTGGTGCATGAATGGTCAACATTGGCACCCTTGGCTGACTTGGTCAGTAATTCAGAAAGATCAGTATAAATCACATGGATGCCACATTGAAATGAGTGCCACTGGGTCAGCCAATGAGTGGAAAGAGAAGCAGTCAGCCCCCTTCATAAAGCAGCCAGCACTGTCACCATGCTAGGGTTTGCTGAGCCGCCTCTGCCTTCCGCTACACATAGGGTTTATGTTGAGGGGAAAACTGGCTAGATCCACGTGTATTCACATCTGTGTGATAACGCACCGTCTTCTCACAGGAATCTCCTACAGTCTCATCTCAGATCTCACTGGCTCTGTAATCCTAATAACTCACTTCACCTGTCTGGGCCTCAATTCCTACATCTGTAAAACAGGGGCATGAATTAGAATTCCCTCTTCTAATGTTGCACAAGGGACACCATACTGCATTCTCTTCTGGAAAGATATAACTTTGCACAAAGAGGCAGTAGAGTGTGCGCACTGGAGCTGCTCGGCCTGCATTTGAATCCTGGTTCTCCCACTTGCTAGCTGTGTGTCTCTGAGCAACTTACTTATCTTTTCTAAGACTCAGTTTTGTTATTCATTATAAATAAAAGTAATAATTATTGAGAGGTCGAATGAAAGAATGCATATAAACTGATGAGCAGAGTGCCTGACATACAATAAGTGATCCAAAAAATGTTAGTTCACATGACATTTAAACATGATTCTTATCTTTGTGCCCCAAAAATGTGCATGTGCCTCAAAATGGAAATGATTCATTCTGTTTTTTAAGCTTCCTGGTTTCTGTGTCAACCTCGAAAAATTGTTCATAAGCTCAAGTTCAACTCCAGTTATAAAGTAAAAAAAAAAAAAAATGTCTGATTAAAAACTCTCTGCCTCGTTGTGCAAAATCATTTGTTGTCATATTCACATTCAGCCAGCTGTGAGCTGGTCGACTGAGCACCCACTGTGTGTCAGGTACATCTGAAAGAACATAAATGCTTGAAAGGATCATTTAAGCAAAACCTATATAAAGAAATATACTCCTAATTTATTTTTTGACACTGTTATTTTACTTCATTGACCCTTAGACACAACCATTGAAATTACTACAGCAAGAGAGTGTGCATGTTTTATGTCATTCATTTGCTCAAAAAATATTTATGACCACATAGTCTGTGCATGACACTGTGCAAATCTGAGGCAGATGCAGATTATCCAATCCCCAACACCTGGGAGCCTGTAGTCTTGTAGAAAAGATGCTACATACAGATATACGTATCAACCAAAGCAATATTCATGTGCCATTAAAAAATACAACGTAAAGAAAAATGAAAAATTATTTCTAGCTGGAGACAGAGAAGAAATAGGGTGAACCCCTTGAAGAAGGGGGTATGTATACTGCTCCTTTAGTGGTGAGCAGGATTTCAATGATTAAGAGATAGGTTTTAGGGAAGAGAGTCCCTGAGGGCCTCCCAGGAATTAGGAATGACAGGCGTCAGCAAAGACTGGGAGAGTCAGATCCATGACATCCATCCATGAAACGCGGCAGAGTCCCATCTGCTTGGCATGTGAGACGCAGCAACAGTGAGCTCCGGGCTGGGAATGCTTTGCCTCTGTGGCATTTAGGCATCATTTAGTAAACAAGGGCAAAGCATGGAGGGTTTGAAGGGCAGGGGGGAAACGTGCAGAGGTGTTTTAGGAAGACCGACCTGGCACTAGGATCTATTTCTCCTTTCCCGAAGAAAAGCCCTACAACCTGTGGCCCTCAAAACAATTTGTTTATCCGTAGTGTCTCTAAAAAGTGCTACAGCCATCCCTAGTAGCATTTTAACTGTTTAGATAAAAGCATCAGGTGAAACCTGCAGACCTTATATCAGGGTGACATTGAAGGTGCAAGGCACATGTCACAAGATTAAATAAACTCACAGCAACCTATCCCCTCCCGAGTCCTGGCTTTAAATTCAGGGTGCATCATAAATGAATGGGGTTTGGTGGCCTCCCGCCTATCTCCTGGGAACATTTGTTTGATTTACAAAAATACGACACAATTTGACACACTCAGTCTAATTAGCATTCACTATTTGGGAGAATGCCCCAGACAGCTAGAATTCAAATGTACTGAAGCCAGACCTGAATTTTTCTCTGTCCTCCTCTCCCATTTTTTTTTTCTGCTCTCTCCTTTCTTCATCAGAGGACCATGTAAGCTGGAGATTTGAGGGAGCAAATCTCAGATGTCCCGGGTGCTCTACGCACGAAATCAAGCAACAACATGCATGTTTCAGCCTTTTCTGTTCTCCTATGCCTGCAGAACAGAGGCTGTTCTTATATGGACTGCTCCCAGACCTCTTCACGCAACTGTTGATTACACAGTGTTGGTTTCACAAAAAGAGTTTTTCTGGAAGAAGTCCTGCTTCAGAGAGAGGAGCTTAGTATTTAGCACTGCTCCTGCTAACAATGATTAAAGTTATTACTGTTACTTAAATAAAGCAGGGCATAAATACACAGAAGACATTGGGGTAACTACTGCTCACAATATATGAAAACACCCCTCTTCTCAAGCACAGGAGTTTGCCTGTTCATTTTAAATCTGTTTAATTCCAATTTTACGGGGCCTTGTGACAATCATCCAAAAGTTAGCTGCCAAAACTGTGACTATATTTAGCTGTTTATCACACACCAACTCAAGGTAGTGCGTGCTGGTAGACACACAGAAAAGCAAAGAAAATTGGAGCTCATTAGCAAGGGAGGCCAGGAAAGGTTTAGGAAAATTCTGAACTGGGAAATATTTGTTAGAGAATTTTAGTTGTGTTACTTCTAAGGACAAAAAAAAAAAAAATCTAAGTTTATAAACAGAAGCAGCATAAATAAGTTAATTTTAAAGTTAGACAATGAAGAGTGAGGATACATAAAAAACACAGACCTCAAACTCCAGGGCAAGTGAATGGAATCTTTGATTTCCTGATCCTCCGGTTTGCCATGGTTGACATGCTTCCTACGGCTCACGGCCCTGGAAATGCAAGAAAAGAAATTCATTTTCTATTTTTTTTTTCTATCCAAAAGTTATATGTGTCATTATAGAATCATCACAAGTTTCAACTGGATGGGATCCAAAAAAATGTCATCTTCCTGTGAGTGTGTAGCAATATAGCAATGCATAAATGGAATCATAACTGACCCGGAAAACAAGGAGGGCCTCTCCAAACCCCAGATCCAAATGGACACACCACATTTGGTTTCTTCTCAGCAGTGACTAATTTTGATTAGATTTGAAGGCCCAATTTCAGCTTAGCCTAGAAGCTGCCTCCACTGCTTATTAGTGGTCTGTGCCCTCATTAACTATCATTGAAGAACACGGTGGAAAAACAGTCATTCAAGGGCATCTACTGAGCTCCACATTCAAAGCCACCACAGTTTATTTTATCCTTTGGTTTGGTGATGGCTTGGGAAGGGGAAGTCAATTTTCCTTCATTTCTTGGAATAGAATTGGAAACTAATTACATGTTGCTCTTAAAATCAGTTTAAAAAATAGTTTGAAACTTGCCCATAACGTCACATAACCATAGGTGACAACTGGCCCCTAACTGTACCTCAAAGTTTAGCCACTGGCGGTTCCTTTATATTTTCCTTCTCGACACGCTTTCCCCTCCCCACACCCCAAACAAAACATGCTACTTTTGAATAAGATTTGTGGAAGGGCCTAAATGGAGAAGCATAGATGAGTAAACAGTGTCACCTAGTGGGCTAGAGGACACCAGGAAAAGAAGAAAACTAGTCAACGTGCACAAATGAGAATAGCAGCCAACTGGCAGCATTGGGCCACATTTTGCCTTCATTTTTGCCCTCTGTTATCACCCATGAGCAAAGAAGAAAGTTTCCTCAAGGAGACATTAATAAATAATCACAAACAAGCCCCACACCCCACAGCTTTCCCTCTCTAGTTCCCTAATAAAGATCTCACCTAAGTAAAAATAACATCTGTCATTAATTCCGCACTTACGGAGAGCCGAGAGTTTGCCGAGAGCTTTACCTGGGTCATCTCACTCACTCACCAAAGAGTCCAGTTACTGGCTAGGGAGCTTTGATGACAAGCTTAAATCATAGACTGTGGCAGCCCAGGCAGTAACACCCGCTCTGTGGTACCCCACACACACAGCCCGAGGGCAACAATGAGATCTTGGAGGGACAAATGCATGTAATAACACAATAATCAGATACATATGAAGCATTTACTGTGCCCCAGACTACGTAGGGAATACTATAGTGCACCGACAGGGATCCTGCCCTCTACTAGCTTGTCATTTAAAAGATAAATTTGTAGAGTACATTAGAGTCACCATCATTTCAAGCTATCTTCATGTCCCTACAATGTAATCAAGATCCTGATTTTAGAAATGAGGTTTTGTGATTCATCCAAGTTCACACAGGCAAGAAGTGGCAGCTGTGGTCTTCTTACATAATGAGGGAACCAGGGTGTGGCACACTCAGGGCGCTTAAACTCACTTAGGAAAGCTAAAAGTCAGTTGTTGATCTCTCCACCTCTTGCTGCCTTTTTCACCAGCGCAGCTGCTAGAGATCCCTGGTTTCATGACAAGGTGTGGAGGCCAAAGACGGCAGAGAGCTGACTCAGGGAGCAATTACCACAGGGCTCAGGGTTCAGGGTTCAGGGGTGGAAACTTCTTTCCCTCTACCAACTCCAAACCATCCCAGCCCTGACAGGAATGGCATAAATCAAATCTCTTGATAGATCAGATTAAAACAGACAATCTACATTTTATGGATCTGAAAGAATGAGAACTATAAGGGAATTTTCTTAATTTAAAAAGGGGTGCCGGGCGCAGTGGCTCACACCTGTAATCCCAGCACTTTGGGAGACAGAGGTGGGTGGATCACCTGAGGTCAGGAGTTCAAGACCACCCTATCTAATATGGTGAAACCACTTCTCTACTAAAAATACAAAAATTAGTGGCACGTGCCTGTAATCCCAGCTATTCAGGAGGCTGAGGCAGGAGGATTGCTTGAACCTGGGAGGCAGAGGTTGCAGTGAGCCGAGATCGTGCCACTGCACTCCAGCCTGGGTGACAGAGCAAGACTCCATCTCAAAAAAAAGCAGGCGGGGGGTGGCATACATGAGAAACTTACAGCAAACATACCTAACAGTAAGAGAGCATGCTTTCCCCTAAGATCAGTAACAAGACAAAGATAGTCTCTTCCACCACCCTACTCAAGGCTCTAGCTAGTTCAGTAAGATAAGAAAAAGAAATAAAAGGTATACACATTAAAAAGAGACAAGTAAAACTGTCTTTACTCACAGATGACATGATTATTAAAACTCCAAAGAATCTTTGAAAAAAAATTCTTGGAACTACTTACTAAGCAGGTTTAGCAAGGTCGCAGGATGTAAGGTCAATATACAAAACTCATTGCTTTCCTACATACCAGCGATAAAAAACTAGAATCTGAAATTAAGGAAAAATACCATTTACAATACCACCCAAAGAAAAGAAGAAAAGTAATTGAGCATATATCTAACAAAATACAAAGAGGATCTGCATGTAAAAATTTTCTTCAGTGGGGAGGAAATAATTCCTTCTATTATATAAAAATAGGTTAACAGAACAAGGAACCATGTGTTATCTTTGTACAGACTGGGAAATTCCTCCAGAGGCCAGACTCAAGATTTCCAAATCCTGGGGTTAGTAGCCCACCTGGGGCCATCTGGGCGCCTTCTCTCTTCTGTGGTCTTCTTACACAGTGAGGGAACCAGGGTGTGGCATACTCAGGGTGCTTTATCTCACTTGGGAAAGCTAAGAAGAGAACCAAGAAGGGAGGAAAAAAACAGGGTTTTTTCATTAAAAGCCTTAATATGATGAGATGACAAAAGAAGAAGCAAGAACAGCCTTTCCCCGGCTCCAAGGACCTAATGTTCTTCCACTCTGCCTGCAATTATGATCCCAGCCTTTGAGGATCCTTTTCAATTACAGAGATCATTTTAGCTTACTGAATGAAGCTGAGAGACGAAGCTAAACTTTTCGTACTTAATTAATGAGACTCGTATGATGCTTACTCTGTGTTATCCTGGGCCAGGCACTGTACACTAATGTACTTTACACCTATTAGCTAATTTAATCTCAACAGCTCTATGAAGGAGGTGCTATTGTTCGTCCCATCCTAATAGCTAAATAAATTAATAGCTAATAAATTTTTTAACATTGCAAATTTTCTTTTAGAAGTTTTACTTTGGACTTGCTTATATGGCCTACAACTCATCATATATGTCAACTTATACCATAAGTGTCTTATCATATATGTCTCATAATAGTCTGACTGCTTCCACATTTCAAGAAGCTACTGTTTGTAAAAAGCAAGGTGTACGGGAGCGGTAGGGTCCTGGTGTGGAGGTCAGGAGCACCCCTGCGATCCCAGTGGTGAGCTGTTCAGTGTTCAACAACCAGCTCTTCATTTCAAGAAAAGGAGGGAGGGGAGGAGAAAAAAAAAAACAGCATTTCTGTGTGTAAATACTCTCACCATTGCCAATTTTGAAGCTCACAAAGTTCCTGGAAATCTTCAAATGGGCTTTCAACCAGCCAGTGGGGGCCTGTTCTAGCACACCTGCAAAGCTCCGTGAGGACAGAGTCCATGGCTGTTTTCTTCAAGCTCACACCTAGCCTAGTGCCTCGCAGGTAGCAGGCAGCTAAGACATATTTACTGAATGACTGAATGAGTGAATTAATGAGATACAATCAATTAAATCAAACAGGAGCAAGTGCACTGTCTTCCTCTGGCTGGACTACAATCAGAACCTAGCTGCTTCAATGGCATCACGGTCTTGATTTATCATGACGGTTGTGATTTGTGCCACAATTCTGTGGGGAAAAGGAACGTTATCTCAACATTGGGCTTTGTTAATCATAATAGAAGTGCTAAGGGAGATAAGACTTTTGAATAAGTGTTTTCAAAAGCAGGCAAAAAGAGACATTAGATTTGTTTTTATCTGATTTGATCAAAGAGTATACTTATAATTTTCAAATGTTATTATTTAAGCTCCTACTTTTAAAAAAATTCTGTTATAGGTATCAGAGACTCTAGCCTCTAACCCCTTGAAACAATAATTGAGACAATTATTTTGATAACCAAACATTCTTTTGGTTATCAAAAGGATTTTGGTCATCAAAATATTGTTTCATTGGAGCTGAACAGACAGGGGACTAGCTCTCTACTGCCCCCACTTTTCCCTGCTCCTGGAAGTGAAGTTCTTGTGGCACACATTGGACAAAATGTTAGAAGGGAATTCGTCATTCACACATTTGTAATAAGTAAATTTATTTCCATCTAACACAAGTTGTGTGCTCAAATTTCAGAGCCTGTAAGAGATGAGTGCAGACATTGTAGGAAACACCATTAAGCTTTTTGTTGTTGTTTGTTTGTGAGCCACCAAGCGGGGCTATTTATTTATTTATCTATCTATCTACCTATCGATATCGATTTATTTAGAGGCACACTTCCATTTATTTATTTATTTATTTATTTACTGACATACTTGCTCATGGAGAAGCAGGTCGCATTTTATTTATTTATTTATTTACATATTTGGAGGCAGGCTTGGATTTATGTATTTATCTATCTAGCTATCTAATTATTTAGAGAAGGGCTCACGTTTACTCATTTATTTATTTAGACCCAGGCTCCCAACATTTATTTATATACTTATGTATTTGTGTGCAAGTTTGCATTTATTTATTTACTTATCTATCTGTATATGATTTAGAGGCAGGCCTGCATTTATTTACTTAGATGCAGGCTCGCATTTATTTATTTGTTTGTTTATTGATTGATTGATGTGTTTTAGACGGAGTCTTGCTCTGTCACCGGGCTGGAGTGCAGTGGCGCAATCCTGGCTCACTGCAATCTCCACCTCCTTGGTTCAAGCAATTCTTCCGTCTGAGCCTCCTGAGTAGCTGGGACCACAGGTGCGTGCCACCACACCTGGCTAATATTTTTGTATTTTTAGTAGAGACAGGGTTTCACCATGTTGACCAGGATGGTCTCGATCACTTGACCTCGTGATCCACCTGTCTCAGCCTCCCAAAGTGCTACCACTAAGCTTTTAAATAGCAAATGAACAAAAGTAGCAGACCCCTGATATAGCCTAAATTGAGATTCAACTGAAACTGAAGTATCTAAGCAAATGGACTGGTGGCTCCCAACCTAGGGTTGCCAGATAAAATACAGTTAAACTTGAATTTCAAGTAAACAATGAATAATTATTTAGCATAAATATTTCCCAAGCACAGCTCCCAATATGGCATTGGACATACTTGTACTAAAAATGTATTTGCTGTTTATCTGAAGTAAACATAT